CATATCTAAATTTCCTCAAGAATCTGATTATAACAGTTCACGTCTTAACACTTTTATACATAAAAATAATACACTTTTCAGCGACAATCCGTTGTGATAAAAATAATAACAATGAATTGTGCAAAAACACAACTTACAAGCTACGATGTAATACATTCGAATATTTATTTAAACGTGAAACTATATTTTTTAATTTCTTTGATTTAGTTTCAAATTACAAATTCATAACAATTACTGAAAATTAACCGCCGGGTAACAGGGTGCTTACGGGAACACACATAGCAAAGGCTATTTGCCACAAACTGTGAGGAATTTGTTCATAAATTTTGCCACTCAACTGTGTTTTTATGATTTTCCATAAACTTCACCATGATTGATGCGTGCGCATGTCATGTTACTCCCCTTGTGCAGATGAACAATGGGTCGATGATCAGAATAACACGACCTAGATGTACACAAAACACATGATACATACATGCTTGTATTATGACGAAGCACTCGTTGCATTCCATCACCAAATTGTCCTGCTTGGATAATCTAAGTAACTACTGATCAGAAAACAGTGCTCGTCAAGAGCTAGATTCGACTCACAGGAGAACAACCGAATAACCCCGGTCTGAAAATACAAATCTGCAGAAAAATACCGTTCTCATTGTTTACAGATGTTATACTTATGTCTTGTGCTATGTTAAAATACAATCAATAGTTGGTTGAAATAGTCATAAATTAAAATTTGCCAGGATAAAAAAAAAAAAAAACATTTTAAAAGTCGTAGCGCCCTCTACCGACTTCCGGGAGTGGCAGGTAGTTAGTCTGTCCTATCACAGTAACGCCCAGCCTGTCCATGTTTTTTTGGACAGACATTCAAGGTAGCAGTGAGCAGATGTGTTTGTTCATTTCCAATAACCTGCTGTCATCGAGTGATAAAGGGAGGCCAAATCGCGGATCCGGAATGTTTGTGAATTACCCAGAGCCCTCAGATTGTGCGATTTAGCAGTATATTTCCAGAATTTGCACAAGCAAAACTGATGGTCGCCAACACCCGTCTGGATAATGTAATGCAACTAGAATCTGCGTGAAAAAACGCTATCAATTCGCTTCATCGTCTGTCTGGAGCTAGAAAGAGAAACAACATTTCCCCCAACCAAGCTACTAGCGATGTATCAATCTATGGCTCTAGCTTTTTAATACACAAGTTTTCTTATACAGGCCTTTACTACATCATCCCGAGAAATGATTTGCCCGGAATTGGCCCTAAACCGGGTGCTTTCGCCGATTTGATATTGGCCACTGTAAAGAGCCCTGTTCGCCACACAGTAGAGAATATCCACTAAAAAATGTTACTAATTTCACACAAGGGAACAGTTTTTTTATTTGTATTTGCTGAACAAATAATAAGCACTGACAATTTTTCGGGCCAGCAATTCAAAACAAAGGGATTTTGAAATAAATAAGGGCGCTCTCATAGTTTGGTTCATTATCCGAACTCCAATATGGTGCCAACAGTGTTCGTGCAATGACACTGCATTTGTAATTTCTACTACTGACATTCAGAAACATGCGAACAGAACACTTAACAACAACGCATATTAAACCATGGAATGGTTTGATCATGATGATTGTGAACACAATTATTGATACAAATGACCAATGAAAATGTGATATTTCAATAAATATTATAATAAATATTGTGGCCCGCCGGTCAGACACATGCCGAGCCTTATATAAATTGTGTTCGTTGATTTAAGGAATAAAAACATTCTTCTCGGTCAATATGGCAAACAATCAATGTGCATGCTAGTGATATACATTACAAACGTCGTCTTCAATATTTAATTTAATTAATTTAAGTTTACGGCTAAAAAAATAAGTACAGTACGACACGCAGTGTTACCAGATTCACAGCTTCGGATTGGTTTTTACTTCGATTCAGTAAACATGATTTACATACGCAATTTTCATGATTTATTCTGGCAATCATCACCGTTTTATTAAACACTCGATCCTCACTATTTCTAAATTATAAAATCAGTAATATGCTACAAGGTAATCAGTTTTTGAGAATTATTGCTTGTACAATAAACACAATGTAATATTAAAGTGATACTGAATAAGATCAAGTTTTCTGACAAAAATTAACAATAAAGAATTTATGATGAATATAAGGCTTGTATAAGGCATGTTTACTTTTCATATACTTCATATAATATTTTCAGTGATATGTCTTGTTAAGTTTCAGTTGTATACAGCTTTATTCATTATTTCTACTCATAGCACACAGACTTATTTCAGATCACACATATAATACGCAATTTGTGAATCTTAAAATCACCGAATTCATGAATCTGACTTGAATCGCATTCTAATTTTACAACTTAACTGCTCATGCTCAGTATTTCTCGCAGTGGTTTTAATGAGCTTTGAGAAAGTGAATTAAGAGTGATAATCATGAACATAATCAACTTCGGATATTCAAATTCTTCATTTCATTGATACCTGCTGCAGACATTTTGAGAAAATCCCGCATTCATGTTGGCAGACGGATGTTAATTAACCCCCAATTCAGGCCGCACCTGCATGGGGACTAAAATCAACCTCGCTGCTGTGCGCAACTACTAATTTGAATATGAATAGCATGACGTAACATACCCAGCCGTAGATTATTTGGTCTCAAAAAGCCATATTAGGTAAATTACAAGTCCAGTTACACATAACGTATGAGTGATACCAATCGACAAGAACAAAACCGACAAGTGTACTACACAATGTAGTGAAATCAGTAAAATATATATAACAAGGGACACGTGTGCTTTCAAAATGACAGTTTTGTGTGTCTATTTGTTGTACAGCTATGAACAAATCAAAGAAGACTACAGATGTTTTACAATTACCAGCATTTATCAAGGTAAACAAATCTACAAGTATCATGCGTAGCTCAATAGTTTGTCCTACTTTAATTAATTAAACAAATAATAAGTATGTAGTATAGTATAGAACAGTTTTCAGTTCATCAGTTATAGAAAAGTATGTTAACACGATTAGTGATATTAATGAGACTGATACAATACGATTCGGAATTTTGTCAATAATATGACTTGACTGTGAACCCAGTATAACTCGTCTTTAAAATACCCCAGTTAAACAAGATATTATGTCTTCGATGAGACGAGTTGAAAGAAAAGTTACTACTAAGGTTTTCGTTGAATAAAAAAAGTTGAAAAACCACATGTGAACACACATGCGACACGCAATCTGCACTAATTGTGAAATTGAGTACTAGTACATCTGATTATATGGTTTACACTTTGACATTGCCAATGCTTGTTATTTTGCTGAAACAGAAGGAAGACGTTCGCAGTACACAGAGAGAACACATTGTTTTGCAACAGTCGAAAATAATTGTTGATTCACGAGAACCGTCTATTAGTGTGATGAACAAATCAGTAGGTATCAAGGAGGGTAAAATGGTAGGTTCTTGTTCAATTTCATCTTTGCAATAAAATAAACAAATAATAAGTGAGCTAATAAAAATCACAATCATCGGTAGCGTAATGGTGACAGCATGATTGTAAATCCTACAAACAGTCGAACAGAACATGGAACCAACCACCGCTGAGTGTGTCAGCCTCAATTGGGACTAATTTTATTGAATTATTTTACTATCCCGTGTGCGTCTCGAGTGGGTCGATTTCCCCAATCGTTTAATATGCATATGCCCATATATAACAGTTTAATCACAAAGTATCACAACATGCATGATATTCTGTTGATTATACTTTAGTGATTTACAATACAATCTCGTCTTGCTTACACAGATACAAAATATGGAGGAAATACAGAAAAAAAGAAAAGGACTCATCAAGAAGATTTGTGCTGGCATACAACCAGGTGCCAATGGTTACTACAAACCGCTCGGGAATAAGATGTTAATATTTAATGACCAATATAAGTTTTTGTACTGCAAAGTTCCCAAAGTTGCTGGCACTAGTTGGAGACGAGTACTATTAGTCTTAACAGGGGTGCTTAATAGTACAGCTAAGGTTCCTGGTTTCAATGTGTATCAACAGAATTATCCATCTATATCTCAATACAAAAATAACAGGCGAAACTATACTTCATTTGTTTTTGTCCGACACCCTTTTCATCGATTATTATCTGCATACAGGAACAAGCTCGAAAAGACAGTTCCACTTGGTTTTGAGAAAATTGCCAAACAAATAATATCCCAATATCGTCATAACACCTCTTTTGATAACACAAACAGCGAGGCAAATGTATCGTTTCCGGAATTTATACAATTTCTATTGAATTTCAAAAGCAAATCTAACCTCAATAAGCACTATGATTTCCAGCACAAATGTTGTGCGGTATGTGAATATTCTTATGATTTTATTGGTCATTTTGAAAATATTGTCGAAGAATCAAACTATCTTCTCCATTCCCTTGGAATAACCAGAGTCTCGTTTCCGGAACATGACGTATATGATCACGCAACTAACAGCACAAACAATACTACTTATATGAAATACTACTCACAAGTTCCATCAAGAGACATCATTGAACTATATAAATTATATGAAATGGACTTTAAATTGTTTGGATACCCATTTCCTAAAGAACTTGTTTGAACACATGTCCTCGTTTTGTTCAATATTAAAAATGCGATCTTGTTTATATTATGATTTAATTTGGTAGTTCACGCGAACGAGAATGTCATTAATGTTGAAATACATGTGATGTTACCATACATTAACATGACAGATCACAGGGTACTCATAGTAAGCGTGAAACGAAATATGTTTTTTATTTTGTCTTAGTAGTTCGATCAAATGCCAACAATTGTTATTTTGCAGATTTGATCTCGTGTTATCCTTCTATAAATCTAAATATTTGTGAACATTATATTTGGAGGGTGATGTAAATCGGATTACTTTTAAATTTGTCTCCAAAGTTGAATTGTTTAAGATTTGTTTATGATGACATTGCAAGACACTAAAGATACACTAAAGATACTAGGTTATATATTACAGAATATGACTTTGAGATTACCAAGGATGTGTACACCTCTGGTCGCGATGTTTTTGTGTGCGTGCGGTCACCGGCAGCAGAAAGTCCCTAACGTACCAATTCGCGACTTTCTGCCTTGACTACAAACTTTACAGGAATTTCAAGGACTAGGGGTCATAGTATTTCTATTTGTGCTCTTATGAAAGAGCGCGTAAATAAACGCAGTCTGAAAGCGACGAGGTTCTGATCAAGAACAACCCGGAAGGTTTCTTTGAGCATACCGGTTTTCGCCATGTATACACTCTCATAATATTTAATATTTTATTTTAGTGAAAAAAGCACACACCCAAAAACAAGCAATACACTGTATGCAAGTCTATTATCTATTGAATTTATATTTTTAAATTTTGTTTTTTTAAGTTCATATATTGGTTGTTCTGTTTGTTTCGCTATTCATGTAGTTACAATGCGTTAGTTAGTAATAATTATGGTAGTAATGAAATAAACAGTGATCTTGAAAACACAATGCTTTATTGTTTCATATTGTATTACATTAAGAATGTAATTAATGTAATGTACCGCAATGTATATTTATTATATACAATTTTTTTTGTCGCACTTGTAACTATCTTTATTATGATAATATAACACGGTCGAACGCCCCCAACGTGGGCGGGTGTAAAGCGCTTGTTTTGGATGAGTGTATGACATCATTTAGTAAAGCACGAGTCAACGGAATACGCCGGACATCTTCAGCTTCACTTGCACGCAACTCATAGAGCCTTAAAAGTGCTTCAGGTCAACTCATGTAGATTATGGGACCAATGAAAACTGCAACATGTATGTAATATAGCTAGACATGAACGAGTTTAGTAGATTATACGTCATAAAACCAGGGAGGGAAGCCCCAAGTAATAGACACACAATTTAACGAGTTTATTATCTACAGAGAGATTTTGGACGTCTCTGTCGCCAGTCATACACTGTCGACTCTGAATTGTGCATTGTGATAGCGATGTAGCTGGCATAATGAAATATCTTTTAAGTAGCGGGTGACTAAGCGTAATACCTGGTGTGGGACATGCTTCACATATTATGTGTATGTCGGTAATCGCTTAATAGTACCGCATACAAATGTTTACTCAATTTATTACAAGTATTATATTTAGTTAATGTTGTAAGTGTCAGACGTTTGATCTTTCCCGGGATACGGTTTGGTTATGGATATTAATATTTGATTACACAGTGTATAGTGCGTGATTGAGTAGTGATGAACCACCATACGAGAAGGAGATTATGGTGATACGATTTCGGTTGTTTCGTTAAATTTTAACCAAAGACCCCCGTGACATCTAACAGGTCAAGACATGCACACACACATACGCATATAATATAATTCCAATGAATCCACAGTCACTTGGGGGCTGAAAATCAATGAATACTAATTTTCAAAAAAAAATCATCCGCTATACGTATATAAATAAACAAGTTGTGAAACACGGCACCTAGAAAATCGACACCCTGTCGGTTTCAAAATTCGATTTCTTACCTTAAAATGCGAAACAAAAATTTTAGAGGGGATCAGGTGTTACGTTAATAACCATTGTTCATAATCGCTAACTTGGTTTTATTCAAAACTGCACAAATCCCGCGTTTTCAGCCAGAATCAAGGGGGATTCGCATAGAGTTCTGGGTAAATCAAGGAAATACTCGCTGTTTCGGCACACCTGATTGGCTGAAAATGAGTATGCACACTTGATGTTTCACATCGTCGATAACACCACATTTAATCCCTGTTTAGAACGACTCGGAATTTTGAAATCGGAGATTATTAAAGAGCGGTGGTCATCGCACCGCGTAGTGTTCGATATGAGAACCAAAGCGGCCATGCATCACGTGTAAAATACATTTTTAAAATCAATTTGAGCACGCGCTGCGTGACGATCTCCGCCCTTTATATTAGGCTCTGCCTGAAGCCATATTTCAGACATGTTGTGACCAATCATTTCAAAAATTAACAAAGATGCCATATATGGTAAATGATATATCCACGACAACTTTCAATACTAAAACGTGTCCGATACCATATGTATTAGTTTACAGTTGTATGTCGTATTGTTTTGGGAATATGTCAAACGTGACATGATGCTGCAAAATATCCGAAATCTTTGCAGTTCCTTTAACCACGCCCTCTACATCCAAAGCAGAATAAATTAACACGTAGGTACTGGCCAAGTTTATGAGTAAAGATTCCTTTTTACGTACCAAACATCATTTATTAGAGTAGTAAAGTAATTGACTTTCTTGGTAGTAGAGTAGTTGACTTTCTTGGTAGTAGAGTAGTTAATTTTCATGGTAGTAGAGTAGTTGACTTTCTTGGTAGTAGAGTAGTTGACGTTCTTGATAGTAGAGTAGTTGACTTTCTTGGTAGTAGAGTAGTTGACTTTCTTGGTAGTAGAGTAGTTGACTTTCTTGAAAGTAAAATAATTGACTTTCTTGCAAGTAGAGTAGTTGACTTTCATGGTAGTAGAGTAGTTGACTTTCATGGTAGTAGAGTAGTTGACTTTCTTGGTAGTAGAGTAGTTGACTTTCATGGTAGTAGTGTAGTTAATTTTCTTGGTAGTAGAGTAGTTAATTTTCTTGGTAGTAGAGTAGTTGACTTTCTTGGTAGTAGAGTAGTTGACTTTCTTGGTAGTAGAGTAGTTGACTTTCTTGGTAGTAGAGTAGTTGACTTTCTTGGTAGTAGAGTAGTTGACTTTCTTGAAAGTAAAGTAATTGACTTTCTGGAGTAGAGTAGTTGACTTTCTGGTAGTAGAGTAGTTGACGTTCTTGATAGTAGAGTAGTTGACTTTCTTGGTAGTAGAGTAGTTGACTTTCTTGGCTGTAGAGTAGATTACTTTCTTGGCAATAGAGAAGTTGACTTTCTTGGTAGTAGAATAGTTGACTTTTTTGGTAGTAGTGTAGTTGACTTTGTTAGTGGTAGAGTAGTTAACTTGGTATTAGAGCAGTTGACGTTCTAGGCAGTAGAGTAGTTGACGTTCTTGGCAGTAGAGTAGTTGACTTTCTTGGTACTAGTGTAGTTGACTTTGTTAGTGGTAGAGTAGTTGACTTTTACTGTAGTAGTGCAGTTGACATACTTGATAGTAGAGTAGTTGACATTCTTGGTAGTAGAGTAGTTGACATTCTTGGTAGTAGAGTAGTTGACATTCTTGGTAGTAGAGTAGTTGACTTTCTTGTATTAGAGTAGTTGACATTCTTGGTTGTAGTGTAGTTGACTTTCTTGGTAGTAAAGTAGTTAACTTTCTTGGTAGTTGTGTAGTTGACTTTCTTGGCAGTAGAGTAGTCAACTTTCTTGGCAGTAGAGTAGTTAACTTTCGTCGTAGTAGAGTAGTTGGCTTTCTTGGTAGTAGAGTAATTGACCTACTCGGTAGTAGAGTAGTTGACTTTCTTGATAGTAGAACAATTGACTTTCTTGGTAGTAGAGTAGTTGACATTCTTGGTAGTAGAGTAGTTGACTTTCTTGTAGTAGAGTAGTTGACATTCTTGGTAGTAGTGTAGTTGACTTTGTTAGTGGTAGA